GTATATTTTTGCCAAAAAAGTGATTCCTAAAAAAAAGCTGGCAAAATGCACCTCATTAATATGTTTGTCTGACTAACATAATGTGTTTGTCACATTTAAATCAGTTGCTTTAAAAGTGCCATCTGATGTTCAGTCAAAAAATAATCATCTTCTGAAAGTGTAAAATTTGTTTTAAATCCTCTGAAAACTATCACCTTGTAAAGAAGGACAGAACAGCCTCCTGATTGCCACTTAAAGTGAAGTGGATGTAAATGAGCAGTTTTATAAAGTGTTTTAACATTTCTTTTGAAATGTAGATGTTTAAAGCTATTCTATATTTGTGTCACAACTTGTTGGCTAAAATGAAATTAAATATTAAGTTGAAATATTACACAAACTAAGATCTTATTTTTTTTACAGTGCATTTACTTGAACAAGTCTGGTGGAGGCACAAAAAGATGTTGCTTTTGTCTGAAATAGACGTGTTGCAGAACTTTGTGAAAAACCTTTATTTCTGAGAAGATAATGAGCTTTTTGTTGTAAAAATGAAGGTAGTGGGGGGAGGAGGGACTTGTAACATAATATCCTCGACTGAAGGCTCTAAAATGATCTCACTCCATGATAACAGACAGTACACTTCAGCACCGTCCTTTTATTCAGGGTGATGCATCAAGGGAAGTAATTACAGTCACTACTGACAGATCGATGACTAACGTTGACAACAATATCTCAGTCTATAAAACCCCGATTTCCCTCAGCTGGGTTTAAACATTTATAGCAGTCACGGTAACAAAGAGCTGCCTTTTGTGTTAAACATAGTCTATTTTTTTAAGGTTTTACAGCGACTTGCTTCACAGAGTGCGTACTTCTGAAGGTAAGCTGGAATAATTCACTGTATCACACTCTGTCAGTGCCGTTTGTTCGTTTCTTCTTCCCTTTTGATCACCAAATTAAATTAATCCTTTCCGCCCCCTTAGTGCATTGCTGTAAATCCAAAAAGGCAAATATGCTAATTATTTGCTATTTTCATTTTCAGTCCAGATTTGGCTGAAACACTGCAGAGCTGTTTTAAGGAAATCATTAACCATGAGGAGCGTGACTTTCCTTCTGTGCTTTGGAAATATTTTCGTTGCATTAAAGGCCAACGATCAGCGCTCAGAAGCATTCAGTGTAATGGAGCTCCCTGAAACAGCTTCCCCTCATCTAACACTGGGAAAACAGAAATCCAACAGCTCGGTTTATCCAACCCAAGTCACGGGAGGGAAAATGGCACACCCTCCCATGTGCTCAGAGTCAGCTGGAATCAAAGACGCCTTTAAATATGTCAACATTATGGTCTCTCTGCTGGTGTTTGTTGTTGGGATTGTGGGAAATTCAGCCTTACTTAAAATCATTTACACAAACAAAAGCATGAGAAGTGGACCGAACATCATCATTGCAAGTCTTGCTTTAGGGGATTTGATCCACATTGTGATAGACATTCCAATCAACTCATACAGGGTGAGCTATTGTGCTTTATTCTGTTGTTCTGCACTCAAAAAAATCCCTCTTGATTGTTTTTTTCTTCCTCTTAACAGAAATGTCCTTGTCTTTGTTGCAGCTCATGGCAGAGGACTGGCCCTTCGGTTTAGTATTATGCAAACTCGTCCCCTTCATCCAGAAAACTTCTGTTGGGATTACCGTGTTAAGCTTATGTGCTTTGAGTGTTGACAGGTACGGAGATAAGCTCCACTTTTCTGTCCCCTTCATGAAAACAACATTCAATGGCTACAATCTGTATTTCATCAAGCAGAGAGATTTGTTTAGCATTAGTCCTTGAAACGCTCTTGAACTGAAATAAATGAAGCGTCAATGTTCTTGGTTGAAAGTTCCCCGAGCTATAACGTTTTCTCATTGAATTTGCAGATACCGCGCCGTTGTATCCTGGAATCAAATCAAAGGTATTTGGGTTTCCGTGCGGACAGCGATAGAAATAACCCTGATATGGTTTTTTTCTCTCCTGCTGGCGCTCCCTGAAATGGTCGGCTTTGATATGATAACAATGGACTACAAAGAAAAACATCTGAGGATATGCCTGCTTCACCCCATCCAAACCACACAGTTCATGCAGGTGATGCCACGCCGTAAAGCAAACAACAAACAGATCAAGTGTTTGACGGAGTATTCTTTGAAAGTTAAATGAAATGTAAAATGCCCGCAGTTCATTTTTTTGAACTTGAACCATCGAATGTCAAGTGCAGATGTGTTTACGTCCTTGTTAGCCTCTTCGTGCGTGCGTCAAATGCTGCTTCACGGATGCTGTATCATAGCAACCGCTCAACATCATGTCACCTGCAGCACAGTTTGTTGGCACGCTCTTTTTTTTGTTTTTCTACAGTTCTATAAAGCTGTAAAAGACTGGTGGCTCTTTGGATTTTACTTCTGCACGCCACTAGCTCTGACTGCAGTTTTCTACGCACTCATGACCAGGAGGATGCTGAGAAACACTGAGAGTTCACTAAGTGGTTGCATCAAACAGGTTATACAAAACAAAGCTTTTGTACCTTTTACACATGATGTTTTTTTACATTTTAATTTGGTTTGTCTCTCTTTTTTTAACATAGAAGCGAGAAGTGGCTAAAACTATCTTCTGCTTGGTTGTTGTGTTTGCCCTCTGCTGGTTGCCTCTGTACCTCAGCAGAATCTTGAAATCAACGGTGTATGATCAAAAAGATCCTAACAGGTGTCAGCTGCTGAGGTGAGCAGTAATTTGTGTGTGTTTGTTTGCCTGCTGTGTTAGCAAAATATTTCATGGACCACTGAACGGTTTTAAATAAAATGGCTGCCACATCAAAGCAATGTTAGCAGACACAATAATAACCATAACTTAGTCAGTTTTACACATTTTGAAGTGCTTGTCGCTAAGCATCATCTCTGACACGTATTCTGAGCGCTAATTGGTTGCATAAGATGTGTGTTTAAACTGTGACATTACCCCTGTCTGTCAGTAAAATATGTCATTACCACTGAGCACATTTAAAAAAGGAACATAATCATTGGGTGTGTATATTCAACTTATTAACTTTTAGAGTCAATCCAATTTAAGATGACCTCTAGAGCCAACACCAAAATGACTATAAGTCACCCAATTATGCACATTTTATATGGTGTGTTTGTAGCTGAGAGCTATTCCCAGCATATATTCCAAGCCTTTGCACATTTTGCAAACTCTCACATTTCAAAGTTCATGCTCAATAATCCAGGTAAAAAAAAAATCCAACAAAGTTCAGTCAGGTCATCTGGATGGGTTTTTTGTTGAGAGGTTTCATCCTTCATCCAAAGGACTTCATAAATCCGAGGAGCCACAAACAAACTCAATCCCACAAGCAGCACACTCACATTGTGGACCAACCAGTTTGCTGGTGACAAGGTGACACTTACAGTATGTCACCTTATGTTGACAATGTTTTGGTTTACAATGTGAGCGTGCTGCTTGTGGGACTGAGTTTGTTTGTGGCTTCTCACACTGAAGAAGTCCTTTGGATGAAGGACGAAACGTCTCAACAACAAAAAAAAGAAATAGTCCATATGACCTGAACGAACTTTGTTAGACTCTCACTACATTGCATGACATCACACCTAATGTCATCTAAGGTTTGACCAAAACAGATATATCTTTATTTTTCCATCAAATTATCTGAATTTAAAGCTCCAGTAAAACAAGTTGCAGCTGAAATGCATTCCTTTAAGAAATACTGAACCCCTAATGTCCTGTAAGTAAACACATTTTTGTGTAGTTTACAGATGGTGTATGATTTTATTTTCAGTATCTTCCTTGTTCTTGACTATTTTGGAATGAACATGGCATCCCTGAACTCGTGTATCAACCCGATTGCATTGTACATCGTCAGCAGGCGATTCAAGAAATGCTTCAAGGTGAGAGCACTTATACCTCTTCCTCTATCTGATGTATGCTGAAAACATTGTGGTCTATGGTGGATGAGGTGTGTGTGTGTGTCTGGAGTACATAATGGAGTCATGTCTGTAAAGACTGCTGCCCGACTCCATTGAGTATACTTGAGGGGGTCATAAGTGAAAATGTACTGGAAAAACATTGTCAGTGGAAAAAAAAAACATTTGGCAACCTTCCAGATATTTAGTCTCTGAATCAAAGTGATGTGTTATGAGGAAGGAAAAAAAAAGGAACTTCAGGGCAATTTTTTTGAAGCTTTTATTGTATTGCAGCTCTTGAGGAAGATATTGGAAACACTCTGATTTATTTTACTGCCACACTCTCCTTAGTGAAAGTTTGTCTTGTGCTGTATAGGTTTTGTGTCATATTTATGTATAAAATCATAGACGTTTAGCTTTAATTTAGCAATTAGTTTGAACTAAAATAGAAACTGGAGCTTTTAACGTCAACTCGAACAAATAAAACACAATCCTTTTTGATTAAAGCTCCTCTGCTACGTCCTGTATGAATGAATGGAGGCTCGCTTGCTGTGAAACAACATGAGTGGATGGAAAAGTTTGTCCTGTCCACTGGCTGAACTTTTCTGTGCGGTCCTTCAGGCGTGTCTGTGCAGCCCGTGTTTGCCTCGTCGAGCCTTCAACGACTACGAGCCGCCGCCGTGCGTTTTGAAGTCCAGAATGCAGGATCCGGCCTCGGAGCAAAGCAGCAACATCAAAGCTCAGACGGAGACCCCCGCACCTCCAACCTGTTAACACCTCACTGGGTTAACAAAAGTCATGCGGAACTGTGAAAATACTTTGTGATCCGTCAATAGTTCTTTACTGAATGTATGACTTTCCACACAAATACCAATGCAGCTCTCTCAGTTGCTCAGCAACCTTGACATGCCAACCTGACAACACAAAATACCCCCCCACCCCCCTTTGAATAACATGGACCACTGTCTTTTGTAATGCTGTCGTCAGCTGAACATCTGCTTTGGCATGAGCAACCTGGAGTCAGACTGTTCAGACTATTTGCCCCTGAGGCTTGACTCGCTTCCAAACATTACATCAGATTTTTTACCTTGTACCTATCCTGTATCATACACCTCGACTTTCTCAAATCACTGTTTTGGGTGCGATGTTGACTTGGCACCCATCGACAGAAATCTTGTCACGGCTCACGGCCTGCATATATTCATATACAATCTGTTTCTGGATGCTGGGAAGACGGCCTGCCGCAGGAGATCAAGCGAAATTTAAATTATTGCTGTGGGCTTCAAAGCACTTAAATGTTATTTTCATTTCGTGTTTCGTGCAAAACACGACATCATGAAGAGTCTAAAGCCCCTCCATTCCTCCTTGAACCTCCAGAAAACATATCAAACCGGGGCCACAAGTAGATTTTGTCTCTGCCAGTGAATGAACTGATTGATGGTGGCCTATTTTTAATGCATTGTTAAATGTGTAATGCATGGAGACACTTTATAAAAGACCTGGGAGTTGGAGGGTGGGGGGGAAGAAGGAAAATGAAGATGACAGAATGAGGTCAGGAGGAGAGAGGGATTGGAGTGGAGATGGGGAGGTGGGGGGGAGTTTAGGGGGTGGCACCTGATAGGTCTTCCTGTCACAGGACAAGCACAAATAGTGCGCCGTTCCTCCAGTTTATGCTGTGTCAGTCTGCAAAAGTGTCTCAGTTGCTGGGAGCTGGAATGCCTATTAAAAGTTTGTCTTGTCAAAGTAAAGTCAGCCGTTTGTAAAAGATTCATTCATTTGAAAAAAAAAAATATGTGCATGATTGTCTGAGGAGCTTGCGATGCTGTAAAAGTGTGGCGTAATCAGGACATGACTTCATCATGTATTTATAAATCTAACAAAAGCTTCTAACAAAATACTTTTTTTTATCAAGTTCTAATCATCTATATTCATCACCTGACTCTCATGGTGACCAGTGATCTTGTAACTGCCTGTGCTATGTGTGCGTTCATTTGTATGTCTGTCTGTTAGCAAAATATCCAATGACCCAGCGTATGTGTTTTAATTAAACTCTCGGAAAGTAAACAGTGGATGTAAAGTTTCATCAAGGTTCATGCTCAATAATCCAGGTACAAAATTCAACAAAGTTTAGTCTGGCCATCTGGATGGTTTGATTTTTTTGTTGAGACGTTTCATCCTTCATCCAAAGAACTTCATCAGTCCGAGGAGCTACAAACAGTGTCTCACAAGCTCACACTCCCATAGTGGACCGACCAGTTTGCTGGTGATATGGGATTATTGAGCATGAACTTTGTTGTTTTGAATCACTTTGGCATGGCTGCCTGAGAGGAGTCGACGGGGGAGAGGGTGGGACCCAGAAACCATCTTATCACCAGCAAACTGGTTGGTCCATTATGTGAGAGTGCTGCTTCTGGGACACAATTTGTATGTGGCTCCTCAAATTGATGAAGTCCTTTGGATGAAGGATGAAACGTCAAAAAACAAACAAACAAACAAAAAAAAAACATCCAGATGACCTGACTGAACTTTGTTGGAAAAATCAGCGATTAAACTTTGCAGTCAATGAAATTCAAAATGGTTGCCACAGCTACTGCAAAATAATTAAAAACAAAAAAAAAGTGACTTTTATAGCTAGTGAGCTAAGAGTTGGTGCAGGAGTAGTTGAGAGGCACCTCCTGACACTCTGACAATAACAGGTCGCACTAGATGTTTGCTTAAAACTGGTACATTAACCGCTGGAGGCAACCTTGTTTGTCTGTTAGCAAAACATTTTGTGCTTGCTAGATTTTAATGCAACTTTCAGAAAATATTTACTAGGTAGAAACCTGCTATTGTTTAAAATTTAGAGTCAACTCAATTCAAGATGGACGCCGCAGTTGTCAACTCTAGCAAACACAATAATGGCTACAAGTCACAGTTTAGCAGATTTTGAGCTAAAACTTGGTGTGGTAGGAGTTGAGTCATTCCCATAAGTTACTCTGAGTAAAACACTGTGTATGATATCTTTATATAAAACCTTGCCATTAACTAGTGATGTCAACCCCGTTTGTCTGTTAGTGAAATATCTCTTGAACCACAAGATAGATTTGAGTGATAATTACATGAAATAATATGCTGGTGAAGATTCTCAGTCTTCCAGGACATGATGAATTCAAAAAGTGTTCAATACAAAAATATGTA